GTTTTAAGAGGCTGCCGGTCATTATTGATTGAAATGAGAGGGATTGGTTTGGCTGCTGTGGTCATGAGGATTATGTTTTGACTGATAGGGATTAAGTTTTGTCTTTTGTCTGTCTCGCAGAAGACTTAACAGAACAATAAGGGTCCTCAGTACTGACTGATAAGCGCGAGAGACAAGAGTCATGTTATTGTGTGTGCTACTGACCTGCGTGAATAGAGCTTCTCTGTTTTTTGCATGACAGGATTTTGCATACGATGACTCCAAAGTGGAATTCAATGTTGATGCTCCTAACGGTGTCGTGATGGAGGGATACCTGTTCAAGAGGGCGAGCAATGCTTTCAAGACATGGAACAGGTACGAACAGGCTCGACTGTCCGTGTGTCTTTCCTTTTGTGGAGAAAATCTGATATCGAGTTTGTTTTCTTCTCCTACCAGGCGATGGTTTTCAATACAGAACAGTCAGTTAGTGTATCAGAAGCGACTAAAAGTAGGTGGTTCAACTTTGCTGATTCAGATATGAACTTTTTTTTACTCCTTTCAAGCCCTGCAAATGATTATTGTGACCTGACGTTGTAATCTGCTGTGTGTTGTAGGACACTTTGACTGTGGTTGTGGAGGACCTGCGGCTTTGCTCTGTGAAACCATGTGAGGACATCGAGAGAAGGTTCTGTTTTGAAGTGGTGTCACCTACAAAGTGAGTACTGTGTCACATGTGCTGTGTGTTTGTGTTGGGTATGTACAGTATCTAATATCAGATCAACCCCTATCAGGAGCTGTATGCTGCAGGCTGAATCTGAGAAGCTCCGTCAAGCTTGGATTCAAGCAGTTCAGGCGAGCATTGCGTCTGCCTACAGGGAGATTTCTGAGAACTATTATATTGAGGTCAGTCTAACTACTCTGTCACATTAATACATAGACTTAGACATCAATATGTAATGTGAAGTTGACATTTTACTAGCTAAACTAACTTTTATTTTAAGAGGCTTATTGGCCTTGACACACATTCATGAGGATCTCAGGGGGTCCTTTCTATGATATTGTTTCCTGTTTTTTTCCCCTCTGTTGGTTGCACCACATGACAGGACTTTTTAAATATATATATATAAGCTGTGAAGCACTTTATACCCCTCTAAAATACATATCTTAATTGTTTTCCAGAAAGTTTTTTAAAAGTTTTTTTTTTTTTT